GATCCAGAGTCTTCTAAAACTTTCCAAATCCGGCTCCTAAAATGAATCAAACTCAGCGCACAGAGTACAAATATATACTATATCGACGCATTTTCTGCCATTTTTTTGGGTCCTGAAAAATGTCGATAAAGGACTCAGCGACTTCAATAACCTCCAAACCCAAGACATTTTTAAACTATTGTCCCCCTAGCTATGATGCTAGATTAACAGCACTTCGTGCTCCTAATTTGTGTAAAGTGCTCCCAACACCTTCAGGTTAGCATCGCCAGCTTCTGATGTGCTGGAGACCCTGCTCTCTCACACAACACACACACCACCACACACACACACACACAACACACACACACACACACACCACCACACCACACACACACACGACCACACACACACACACACACACACACAACACACACACACACACACACAACCACACCACACACACACACACAACCAACACACACACACACAACACACACACACACACAGCACACAACCACACACACACACACACACACACCAACACACACACACACAACACACAATCATGCAATCGAGTCGTAGTCTGAGGGTTCAGAATAGTCATTCTCCCATAATGACACTTAACAAATATGATCTATTCTTATGTAACAAGACACCATAAGTGTTAATTAAGTCTAAATAACTCAAAATTAGGTATTTCTATCAAAGAATATGTTCCCTATGTTAAAGTGAAGTCTTGTTCCTAACCAGTAAGATAGTAATTTGACTCCAATTGACCTGAACAGGTTCCCTATTCTAAAGTTGCCACCACTTCACACTTTGTAAATACATTATAGCACACAACTACCGAAATTAACCTCAACAGTACATGAACAAAGTAGGCTCACATTGAAATATCTGTTTTATTAATGAACCACTAAAGAGAGGTTCAGACACATGTACGAAAACATGTCAAGTTTCTCCAAGGCTGAAAACACATATGCAGCCTGTATGTTTGATTATGTATTTGTGATCATACTGTGTGACCTGCTTGTATGTTCTTACACAATAGGTGTACTGTTCTCTCTATGTGTTGTACTGTCTCAGTGTGAACATAGATTAAACAGACTGCCAAAATAAATCTTTTGAGAGCCAGGGAATGAGCAACCATGCTCCTTTGTTGACTTATTTGCAGTCCACTGACATTATGAAACTATAAAAAAAATAAGTTACAAGGCACTTAATGATCTCATACATGCAGAACTCTAGATTAACTTTATTTCAAATGTTCACATTGGTGACATATTGTTATATGTATACATATATATCAGGAGGTGTTGGGTAGCTTTACTGGGGAATGAACATCATTCTCCACAGCATATTCACTGGTTTGGTATTTTCATGGTGGTAAACAAGCATATCTGTTTTTGTTTTCTGTTTTCTGAGCCTTGGTTAATGTGAAGGTTCATGGTTATATGATTAATATGCTGCAGTGATGGTACCTGATTTGTTTCTAATGGTGGATGTCTGTGTCTCAGGGCTGAGTGGAGCAGGAAGGAGCAAACCAGCCTGAATTGCTCACTGAGCGGCTGAGAGAGGTAAACTTCTCAACACACCATTTATTTTACATTTTGTCATATTAAAGTTAATGCTATTTCTGAACTAGTTTTACAATTGTCCATAAAGTATCCATTTAATGCAGATGTACATTTGCTCTTAGAACAAAAATCTCTGCTTCTTTGCTGAAACACAGGAAGTATTTCCTGTCTGTTTGAAACTATAGAATAAAATAATTTTAATATGGCAAGACAAAGAAAAGCCCAAAACGTTCACAGCTACAGTCCCTTTGAGAATAATATGGATTACTTATAACTTTAAACTCAAATCTTATTAACAGTTAGAACGTTATTAAATCAAACAAATTGTTCTTTATCAAGCCCAATATAACAAATTATGTCTCAGGGGGCTTTGAATGAGGTACAGTATACCACACCCTCTGTGCTTAAACAACTCCCACAGAAAACCCACAATATTAATAGGGAGAAGAAATAAAGAAACTTTGAGGAGAACATTAGTGCTTTGTTTTTCAATCATTGTAGATTTATTTTTCAATTATGTTCTATAATTTAGTCTTTCCCATTAAAGTTACTTTGTCTCATGGGTCTAAATAAATAGACATCATGCTCAAAGGAAATTAAAAATGTCTCAGTGCAGCGCCATGTAAGTCAGGTTTCAGCGGTCTTGTGCTGAGGAAGGATCCTGTGGTTTCTCAGTCGGATGGTGTGATGCTATCATTAGTGGAGCGGCTGTCTAGTGGTTTTTGGAAAATGTTCAGCTCTTTGTTGTTGACTTTGTTCTGGGGTGTTTCCCCTGACTGCCAACTTCACTGTGAGCCAGAAGTATCTTTAAATACAAACTCACCCACTAACTTATTTTTGAAATTAGCCATTTAACTTGCCTTCTTTATGACTTTAAATAACTGTTATCGTTAATAAAGTCTATTGTGAAGATCCTCCTATAAGCAGCTTCTAGTGAAGGAGAGAGCTTGAAAGTTTTAACACACAAACCCACGTGCACACACCCACGCACGAACGCCAGGCCCGCCTTAACCTGCCCTCAGGCCCTGGGGGCTGATGTTTTGTAGGCCCCCTATTTATTTATTTTATATTTTATTTTGTTTATTTTTTATTTATTTTTTTTAATTTTTATTTATTCAGATAAAAACAAACTGTAACGGACCCTGCAGTGTTATCTATGATTACTATATGCCTTACATTCATAATTTCAGCGGAGGGAGGGGAAGCGGCGCT